CTCGTATGTTTCACTGGTTTTCTGAAGGGCGTCATATTTTCCCTGCAGTTCAGTGAATCTCTCAGAGTTCTCCATCATGTCATCATCTTGCTTGTTTTCTGCCTGGACGACAGCCCTATCCTCCCTTTTCTGAGCTATTTCCATCACACCGGTAATGTCTGTTTGGAGGGACTGACTGACTTCAGGGATATCCTCCATTTTTTTGCAGAGTTTCTCGACATCAAGGGCCTTTAGGTCTCCATTATATTTCACATAAAGTGTTTTGGAGTATGTCATGACTTTATCACAAGTCTCTAACTCCCTGTTTAATCTCCCAATCTCACAGGCGTTCCTGCGTTGTCTAGTCATTTCACTACTCTGTTCTCCAGCCATCACTCTTTCTCTTTCTATGGCAAACATTTATTTACTTTTAAAACTAATATATTTCTGCACAAAGTAAGTTGTCTCTATTAAACACCGAGTGTCCAATATGATAAATAAAATGGCACACTGAAAGCTAATGTCCTGCTTCCTGTCACGTAAGGATTGGGATCATAATGAAATAAGTCCGTCAGCCCAGCTGTTTATAGGAAATAAGATGAAAGCCAACATGTGACGGAATGCGATGACGTCATAGCCATCAAAGGCACAAATGGAATGTCTGAGCGTGTTTGTGGCTGCTAGGCAACACAGACAACAGCTTGGACTCCGCTGTTTACCTCAGGAAAACAGTGACATCACTTTTGAAGGCTAAAAGGGGCGGGACATCTCTAAGCAATTGACCAATCACAACAGAGCCGGTCAGCTAGCCAGGTCTCTATGTGTTTTCTATTTGTTAGCATTTTAATATAAATATATGTATGGAACAAAAATAACCACAGTAGCACGGTGCTAAATTCAGGCACTTAAAGGATCCTTACTTTATTTTGTGTGGTAATACAAAAGCATACAGAATTATAGAGATAGGAGAGACGATCCCTTTCATTGAGTTTCATTAAACCGTACACATAAAATGACTAATAATTACATACAAGCCTTTCCTCTGTGGCTACATCCACACGTACCCTCCACCTCCACCAACAGCATGCATCCTCTCTGCTCAAAATCAGCTGCTCACACCTACTGGTATTTTGTTGGTAGTAAAAAACCCAAAAGTAAAACAGAAAAATAAGTATGCCATAAAACAAAAAGGGGATCATACAAAGATCGCACTCATCAGACCCGATGGAGGATTTTATATCGAAATAGATGTTTACCTACATCTACACAACAGTATGCTTTAATTTATAGTTTTTTTTAGTTTTGAAGGATTATTCAGGGGCCAAAGTTACCCTCCTTTTGTCTGCATGTATGAAACAATATAATATCTAATTTTGACATGTAAACTGAAAGGAACAACATATTGCAAGAGGGAAGCTTTGAAAGACGGGTCGGTTTACCCAAATTTACAAAATGCATCGCCTCACTTCCCCCTGTTGGTGTCCAGTGAATTCCCAGAGGGAGGTTCAATAGGGACGTTATCTTTAGTGCAAAATATTTCCAGGAAAAACAGTTTACAGTAAAGATTTTGGATTAGCAGGAAACTCTTGGAAGAGACGTAGCTTCAGAGAACCCTGAGCTCATCTGGAATGACAACTCAAGGGAGAAAGTGTCGACAACTGTCCGGGAGATGATGCTGGACCACTTTAAACATCAGAAGGATAATCCTGACGCGAACTGGAAATTGCCCGAGGACTTCACAGTGGCTTATGGAGCAGGGCAGGGCGAGCTAGAAGTTGGTGGAGTCTTCCTGCGCATCTTTATTGATTATCTTTTAAGGAAATTCCATTTACCCCCTTTGTATTCAGATGAAAGTAACTCAAATTAAAACCCCTATTGTACAGAAGAGGATTAGAGCCACTTTATAACTTATAACTGCGAAAATCGAGAAAAAAAAGTCAGAATTTCGATTTAAAAAAAAGTCAGAATGCAGAGAAAGAAAATCTGAATTTCCAAATTTAAACTCAGAATTTTGAGAAAAAAATGTCCATTTCTTTCTGAAAATCTCAAAATGTGCGTGGCCTTAAACGTCTTCCGTATAACTGAGAGCATTTGTCAAAAAAAAAAAGAAGTTATTTGGGTGAGTCGACCCTTTCACACTCACCGTCAACACTTAACAATACAAATAACAACAGAAGCTTCTATATGTGGAATGATTTGTAAGTTATAGCTGTAGACAAAATAAGTGAGATTTGTTTTTGACCATGTTTGCTAAGGCTCATGATTATTTAAATCTCTTCTGCTCGACCCAAGAAAATCCCCTTATAAATACGATCCTACCTGCTGTGCAAAAATAGTGGATAAATGGCGGACTACTCCAAGCAACATAAATATAAATGGAAGACTGGTTTCACTCTGTAATAAACACAGGGTGGACCCATTGCAACTAATAAAGACGTTTTCTTCATTTAGGTCTACGAGGATGTCCTGCGCTTCCTCCTCAAAAACGCTCTGAGGAGGAACCGAGGGAAAAAAGGGATTTTAATGAGAAGAACATTCTGGTTTGCTAACTCCCAACACACGTGGGAATGAAAGGATGGAGTGCAAAGGGCGTGAGGAGCAGAAAGACCTCTTTGCAGTGGACCGGGATGTGGTCCGGTCCTGTAGTAATGTGGAGATGTTTCCTTAGTGTCGAACCTGGTCTTCTTTCTCCCCAGGACTGTTATCTAACCTTTGTTGGTGTGTGAGTCCAGTCTCGCACTGTGTGAAAGCAGTCGTTTTATCATTTAGAAATGGTCCCTTACTCGGTGAAGCCCACCACCACCGATCAGATTTTTAATACGGACTGCCACTGAAACGCCATCCTGGGAATAAGATGTACAAACACTGGCTCCCCCCCCAAAACCCAAAACAGATTGTCTCATTAAAGCCGAAGTCCTTCAGATGATTAAATAACACACGTTTTCATTTAGTGAAGGCGGCCACCACGGCCCACATGAGTTCGTTGACGTTGGGTTTGGCGCTCTCCTTCTCGGGCTCCAGCTCCAGCAGGGTGTGGACTCTCTTCATGCCCAGGTCGTACTGCTCGTCCTGCAGGGGGGCGAAGGCGTTCTCCAGGACGTCTGAGGAGTGGGCGAGGAGGATCAGAGAGAGGACCCTCTTGTCCATACGATGGGGGTCGTTCACCCACTTCTCCAGAACCGACTCCTGGACCTTCTTGACGAGGCGCTGCGGGGGGAAAGAACATCAACATGAGCGTCACAGTGTGCATCACATGGTTCCAGGGTTCCTGCAGGTTTCACCAACTCAAATGTAGACCTTTTAAGACCGTTTTAAGACCACTTAACTGACCGTGAGATTGTAAAGCCTTTACCCCAAATGTTCCGAGTGTAACCGTTTTTTTGCGAAAGGTGCAGCGGGCTTCAAACACGTTCCCTCCACTGGTTTCAACCAAGCACTAAATTCGATGTTTTCCAACCAAATACGGTTGAACTTAAACTTCCCCATATTTATTTGTAAGTAGATTCGAAGATACATGAGTTTCTGCTTGGTTGGTTGCTAGGTTACTAGCTGGGTGTTCTCCGATAAGGGGCCGGGGGAAACAAAGTTATTGATCACTGGTTCCATGTTGATTTATTTCAATACAGATTGTTGGGGGAAACTGAAAGGCTCTTACCGTACTGGTTACTTTACAGCCCGGACATTTCCCCCAAAATACATTTAGACGCCATCGCAACACAGAAGTACCTTTCAAATCCCATCATTTTTAGGAACTTATAAATCGTATTTAAGACCTTTCTTATATATATATTTTAGACTTTTTAAGACCCCGCAGGAACCCTGGGTTCAGCTGCTGTGTGTTCAGCTGGGTGAAACAATCCAACTTTATTTATACAGCACATTTAAAAACAACAGAGTTGACCAAAGTGCTGTACATCAATACATATATATAAAAGCAGCATAAATACATTTAGACAAAACCGATAGGACAAAAGAAACTAACGTAAAAAGCACCCGGACAATGAAAACCATACTTATAGCCACAGACTGAAAACCCGCATACATGAGTAAAACATTTTAAAACATAACAACATAGAAAACAAGGAGAAGCCTCAAGTGTGTTGCCTCTGAAATATAGTGGAGTAAATAGATCCGAACATTAAATGTCATAAAGGATGTCAAAATAGAACTTAAGTATAATACTTAAAGTTAAATCCTTTTTTTCATTTCCACACTGCTATAAGTAACTATGTTATTACCCGTTATCGTGCGAAAAGTTGTGTATATGCTTACCGCTTACACTGCTACCGACTATATGCTAAAACGTTAGCGACCCTCAGCAGCATAGATCAAAAGCGATGCAGCTTTAGTCTTCAGTCATACTTTACAGTAGAGCTGGGACCTGCACCAGGTCAAACATATAAGCTTGACTGTTTACCACACACACACACACACACACACACACACACACACAACACACACACACACACACCACAACACACACACACACACACACACATCACCACACACACCAACACACACACACACACACACACACACACACACACACACCACA